GTCATTGTTTAGAACAACTTATTCACCCAGTGAAACTGACTTTTGCGATTGGACTGTGTGTGTGGGAAGAGAGAATCTAGGAGCAGAAATGATCCTGCAGCATCAGGACTCATCTGTTCTAAGAAACTGAGGACAATTCCTCAGACTCCAAAGTGAAAAATAAGAATAACTGTTTTTTCTTTACAATCAAGAAATGTAGGATGAACTAATGAATGGAAAATGTTGAATATCAGGTCAATGTGCCTGGCAGTGAATTAAAAATCTTAATTTTAACTCTCTTTTCCCCTTCCACAAGAGATAAAAATTATCTGAATTTTTCAAAATTCCATATTCAGTTTCCTTCATATGGAAGAGTTATAGTTCACTGTGGATATAGTTCACCTTTGTGCAAAGAGACAACTTCTTTTACCATCAAACCACAGCAATGATGACTTGGGATAATAACGCCTTTGGGATTTTACCATCTTCTCAGATATTTGTATGAACTTCAGCAGTTGTGGCAATATAGTTCAAGGAGATGCTTAATGTGGTCAGCTGGCTGTGGTAGCCAACAGGTGTTAAAGTGCAGCAGCATTATAACTATGCTTAATTGGTGGGGATTTATGGGTAGATTTTCAACCATTTTAATCTGTTATTTCCACTTAGTTAAGGTGGATAACGATCTTTTAATTTATATGAACAGAATATAAATTACAGAGCATTTGGGAGCACTGCAAGGTGCAAGCCTTCTTAGCTGTCATAATGTGTGTCATCTCCAGGAGCTTTTCAAGATAGGAAAAGGATACATTTTTCTTTTTCTCTATTTTTTTTTCTTTCAATCATTTCACAAGGTGACATTCTGATAACTGGGTGGTATTAGATCACTCTCCCTGCTCTTTACGTATATGAAAAGGCAATTCAGATCAGATTGCATTTCCAAAGAAGCTTCTGTCATGTTGATGCTATAGCCTGTGCTCCTTTCTCGTACCCACCCCTTGGCATATACTCTGTCCTTGACAGCATCATCACAGTGAAAATCAGCAAAATTTTGCTTTAGGAGGGTTCATTTTACCTAGTATTAGCCACATGCAAGTTAGGCACCTTATGACACTACTGACATAGGCTGCTTATCTAGCCAGTATAGGGTTGGACCCCACCTGAAAATGTGTGCCTAAGCTAATTGGTATGAACCATGGGCTTGAGGTGCTTATTCTTCTATTTTTGCTTGTGTTCTTTTGTAACTGTGTTATAACAGCTCCATTTCTTCCTTATGCAGTCTTTTGGAAGAGGTGATTTAAAAATATATATTTTGCCTTCCACAGGTACAGATCATTTTACATTTATTGTCAGCAGTGCTCCTAGCAGCTACTGCTGTTTCGAAGTGATGATCTTCTTTCTGATCTCCATTTTATTGCAAAGATGCATGAACATTTGGCCCAAGTTCAGTTTCTAAAACAGTCTGGAGTCATCAGTACAATTGTACCAGGGCTGAACTTAGCCCAGTAGGTTTATGTGAAAGTAATAGCAGAACAAAAATTTGGTTCTGGATATTTCAACTCAAAATTTATTTACCTATGTTCTACTGGGAGGTTGTACAGAATCCATTTTGAAGAGAGATGTGCTTGCATAGTGCTATTATTTTCATGGTCTTTTAATGTAATATTCTGGATAAAGGATGTCAGTGCCTATGGAGTATAAAAAAATACAGCTGATCAGATAATTTAGCTGATGAATTTATCCTGTCTGCCTCACAGAACGTCCATAACCACAGACCAGTTTTTTCAGATTGTCTTGCTGTTTGTGCTAGATGACTTTTTAGTTAACCTCTGTTGCTACAGACTGTTTGCAAATGACTTTACGGTTAACTGCGTCAAGTAGTACAAAGGAGAGTTGATGGTTGCAGTTTATATCACATTGAAAGAGGCTGTGATAAGTAATATTGCCTTACATTTTTTTCAGGCTTAATTACATGTGCTAAAGCAGTTATAAATTGCCAAGCTGACAGACAGTAGGTTAAGTCGTACTAACTGGATTTCAGTTCAAATCCTTAATTGTGATTAATCAAGTAAATTATACATGCATTTAGATGTTTTACTATGCTCAAGGAGTAACAAAGCAAAAACAGTGCTTTTAGGTGGAGCATTAGAGAAGTATTTACCCTATGATGATTGGAGAAATTCAGACACTTAAAAAATCAGTGAAACTGTTGATCCTGAGCTGAAGGTTGTTAGGGTCATATCCACAGCTTTTTAAAAGTATATGTGTCTAAAGCTGCATATGTGTCGGTAGGGTGATTTGTAGAAGCTCTGAACTGTCAGGAAATTAGCAGAAGTTAGATCCCAGATGGTTACCTGCCTCATTAGGAGGCAAAATCTGGTGCCTGGGGATGGTTGTGTGCCCAAATAAGACACCCTTGATTTTCAAATTCGATTTTCTGAATTGGGAACCCTAAAATAGAAAATCTACCTAGATTTTCAGATTCTTTGGGAAAAAATATCCCTGATCTCTGGAAATACTTTGTAGAGTTTTAGAGATTTGCATGTTTATTCAAGTGCATGTCAGTATCAGATTCTTCTTGATTTCAGTGTGAACAGGACTAGGCAATTTTTATTTTATTCTTTAAACTTAGAGGAAGCCATCCTGAAATGTGAATTTTCTTAGTCTTGAGAGGTTTATGAAGTGCTACTGTGTAGCAAGCAGGAGATGAGGCTATAGATAACATAGCCATGAAGCGTACTGGGAGAAAATCTGTAGGTCTGCGCTGTCTTTTAAGTAGCAAAGCACAATATATCCTGTCCAATTATAAATTAGTTCAACTTTCTTTCTATTGTGTCTGGATAATCACAGACAGATTAATGCTAACAAAAACTGAAACCATAACAATTTGGAATTACCAGTAGCTGAGGTACTGCCATACTCAAATGTGCAACACGTCAGAGAAGGTGTACTGAAGCTTGTGATGTCGAACCTCCGGAGTATGGGGCTTTGTGCAGAGATTGTGTGAAAGATAACTGCAAAAGAGAAACTTTGCTGACAAATATTTCTAATGTTGTGGCATGGGAATCCACAGTGCCACTGAAAATCTTTTAGGGGTTTGCTCCTGAAGAGTTTGGAAACAACAGCATTTTGGGGTATGTTATACATCTGTGGCATAGTTCTCTAAAAGGGATTGTATATAGAATCATAGAATAGTTAGGGTTGGAAAGGACCTTAAGATCATCTAGTCCCAACTCCCCCTGCCATGGGCAGGGACACCTCACACTAAACAGTGCCACCCAAAGCTTTGTCCAGCTTGGCCTTCAACACTGCCAGGGATGGAGCATTCACAACTTCCCTGGGTAAGCCATTCCAGTGCCTCACCACCCTTACAGTAAAGAATTTCCTCCTTATATGCAATCTAAACTTCCCCTGTTCAAGTTTTAACCCGTTACCCCTTGTCCTATCACTACAGTCCCTCATGAAGAGTCCATCCCCAGCATCCCTATAGCCCCCCTTCAGGTACTGGAAGCCTGCTATGAGGTCTCCACGCAGCCTTATACAGGCTCTGTCTCAGTGACCTCTTTTTGTGAGCTTTAGGGATTTCACAGTGTGTAAAAGCCCAGAAATTTACAATATCACTTCCATAGTCAGACAATGGGCCTGTGGCCTTGCCAGCAATGTATGACTGCAGAAGCTCTGGCTAGAGCCCATCTGCAAATTGGACTGGGAGTTGGACCCTGTCATTTTGATTTTTATTCTAATGTTTGTATCCTTTTTCACACAGCTTTGCCTTATGACTGGCTTTTATTTAGCCCTCAAGCTCAGCATTTGGAACTTTTATTTGTTGGAGTTTTTCATCATCTTGGAAAATAACGTTAATTCTTCCAGTAAGCATCTTTCTTTTGTATTCTGTTTTATTTCCTGTTCTGAGTTCTTATCCAGTAGCTCATTCAAACAACTGAAGCAATGAAAGCAAACAAGTAACTAACATCTGGGATGTGTTTGTTTACTCTCTCATACTCTCTCCAGGACAAGAAGTGTGTGCTTTGGAATGTTTAGCAGTTTATGATGTTGTATATGAATATTTGTTGTGTATGGAAGATCAAAGACATTAATGTTGCACTTCGAGAGTTGATGAGTTTGTGGTAGTTTTGTGTTCTTAGGATGTTCGTGACACAGGCTTTGCCACACTAGCAAATTTTGTTTCCAGCTGAGCAGTTTTACCTTTGGTTGAGTGAATAAAGAGTTCCCTTGAGTAGAGAGCAAGTTGGGCTGAGGCAGAAGTTGTCTTCTGTGGTCTTTGCCCTGTGGCTGAAGTCACTTGTTTGAATGCCACAAATTATTCTGATGGTGCCTGGCATAACAATGTCTTGGTCCATGGTCAGGGATCAAGGTCCTTGGAAGTCAAACAAGACATTCTTCAGATCAGGAAGCTTCTCTTGACATAGTTAGCACATTTCCTATTCATAGTTTCTTGTGCCTTCTTTATTTAAGCTAAAAATAATTTAACAGTAGCATTATAGCAGGTTCCTAAGCAAGATTTATTTTTTCTCTTTATCTTGCACAAATTATGACTACAGTGCCCTCAAAACAAAGCAGTAAAATGTTGCTCATTGAACTACATGGAGGCACCATTATGAATATCATCCACATAATCAATATGGTTTTAAATTGTTGTATATTGTTGACAAGTTTTCTGTCTTTAGTTTAAACATTTTTATCAAAGTAAACTTATTTCATGACTATTAATTTAAATATGATAGTAGAACACAGACTGATTTACTGATGAATTATGTGTTCTTCTTCCATACTAGAAAAAATTATGGAGAGTAAACAGAACCTGTTGATTTAAGACTTGCTAAAGCTGTGTTAAGCCATAAACCTGATTTAAACGTGCTTTTGTGAAATGCTGAATAATGGTGTTCATTACTTCTTTTTTTTTTTTCTTACAGCATTTCACAGTAACCAGACATGGAAAAAACAATGTGGCACAAGAGCAAAACTGAATTAAGTGCTCTAACAATACCTTATGTTCTTTTCAGGTTCAATGTAATCTCACTGGGCACCAGAAGTGGAACTCATCTATTCAAAATGGTTTATGGTGAAATTTTCCACAGACCTGGCAAAGATGCAGAACTTATCAATTTGAATGTGGGTGGCTTTAAGCAGTCGGTGGATCAAAGCACCTTGCTCCGATTTCCCCATACTAGACTTGGGAAACTTCTCAAATGCCATTCAGAAGAGGCTATCCTAGAACTGTGTGATGATTATAGTGTTGCAGACAAGGAATATTACTTTGACAGGAATCCTTCCTTGTTCCGATATGTTCTGAATTTTTACTATACAGGCAAACTTCACGTCATGGAAGAGCTTTGTGTCTTTTCCTTCTGCCAGGAAATAGAGTACTGGGGGATAAATGAGCTGTTTATTGATTCCTGCTGCAGCAATCGGTACCAGGAAAGGAAAGAAGAAGGTCCTGAGAAAGACTGGGATCAGAAGAGCAATGACAGAAGTATAGACTCCTCTAACGAAGAATCATCTATATTTGATAAAGAGCTGGAAAAGTTTGACAATCTGTGTTTTGGTGAAATAAGGAAGAAGATCTGGGTCAGAATGGAAAATCCGGCATACTGCTTATCTGCCAAGTTAATTGCCGTGTCATCCCTGAGTGTTGTCCTGGCATCAATTGTGGCCATGTGCATTCACAGCATGCCAGAGTTTCAAAGGCTGGACGCCAATGACAGGGAGATTGAAGACCCTGTGCTGGAAGCTGTGGAGATCACGTGCATCATCTGGTTCACTGCGGAGCTAGTGATCAGGCTCATCACTGCTCCAAGTCAAAAGAAGTTCTGGAAGAAACCACTGAATATCATTGATTTTGTCTCTATTATCCCATTTTATGCCACGTTAGCTGTAGACACGAAGGAAGAAGAAAGTGAAGACATCGAAAACATGGGGAAAGTTGTTCAGATCCTGCGGTTAATGAGGATATTTCGCATCCTGAAACTGGCCAGGCACTCTGTAGGACTGCGGTCTTTAGGTGCCACTTTGAGACATAGCTATCAGGAAGTTGGACTTCTGCTTTTGTTTTTGTCTGTTGGGATTTCTATTTTTTCAGTGCTTGTTTACTCAGTGGAGAAAGATGATGACTCATCAGAACTGCAAAGCATCCCTGTTTGCTGGTGGTGGGCAACCATCAGCATGACCACTGTTGGTTATGGGGACACTTACCCAGTCACTCTTGCTGGAAAGCTGCTCGGCACCCTGTGCATTATCTGTGGGATACTAGTGGTAGCACTTCCAATCACCATTATTTTCAATAAGTTTTCTAAGTACTATCAAAAGCAAAAAGATATTGATCCAGACCAGTGCAACAATGATCGCAAAGAGAAATGTAATGACTTACCTTATTTTAATATTAGGGATATTTATGCAAAAAAGATGCACTCCTTCATTTCTAGCCTTTCTTCAGTAGGAATTGTAGTCAGTGACCAAGATTCAACAGATGCGTCCAGCATCCAAGATATGGAGGATGCTTATAACACAGCATCTTTAGAGAATGGTACAGGAAAATGAGTTGAGCAGTGTTCACTTCATTTCTCTTCTGATTCTTGGTAAATGTGGACTTACAAACTTCAGTGAATTTATTAAGAGCAGTTAATTCTCAGGGTACTTAGCTCTCAGCCATATTTGGACATTCTTTGCTCTGAGGATGCCATAAAAGTGTCGTTGTTTATATGAGGCTTTAAAATATGCCTCATATGGTGGTTTAGTCTTTACACAATTAATGTTATGCATTTTTTGGGGAGGAGAAGTCAGGAAAACAGTTTTACATGTGAGGTCAGTGTTTGTTTGGTTTTGTGGAAACAGTTTTTGTTCGGTTGGTTGTTTTTCCCCTGCAGCAATCTGATAGCTTATACAGAATATGCTTTTATAATTTGCTGCTCTTCAGGTAGAGATATATTAAAAATATGTAAGAAATATCACACAAGTTGGTGAAGTTTTTACCTACAAATACATCAGAAGAAAGAAGGAATTATGTACATGTAAAACTGTGCTCACTAACACACTGATGTGATTTTGGAGTTGGGAACCCATTTCCTATGTTGCAGAAAATGTATTGGTACATGTTGTTTTTACTCCATGGAAGCATAATATTTATGAATTTCTTTCCAAAAGCACAATGCATAATTAGTTTTTTAAAATAAATTATTCCCATAGTGCCTATATTTTTCCCAGTGTCCAGCATGGTCAAGCTCTATCAGGTCCTGCAGGGTCTACATTGCAAGTCTCAGAATTAAGCGTCTGGTGTGGGGAGGGCAGGAGCTTAATGTCACCTCTTCTGCCATTGCAAACCTGAGTGATTCTGATGCCAGGAGAGGACCCTCTTCTGATTAAGACCACCCTGGTGGCTTCCCCAGAGGCTTTGTTCTGTGTGCACTGAATCAAACATCTGAGGTGGTCTTTATAAGTTATTGCTCCCTGCCGTCAGCACTACTCCTTTGCTCAAGGTTGCTGCCTCAGTACAAGCAAATACAAGCAGTGTCTTGGCTGCACTGGTTCTCAGTCCAGGGCTGTAATGCCAAGCAGCAGAGATGTGTGGACATACTCTCCTCTACCATACCTATCAGAGGTGTAGGGTGGGGCACTCGTATGAAGCTATTTCAGCTCTTTTTTCTAAAGCTCATCTGTTGGTGATGGAAACTTTCTTGGTTTGTACTATGGGCTGGAACATGGCTCATTGCCTGGCAAAATGCCGCAAGCTCTGTGCGTTCCTCTCCAGGGTTTTCTTATGCAACCAGCTAATCCTGCTGTGGTTCAGACTGGATCTTCTAGGGCTACTTAAAAGGAAAGGCATCCGCTGAGCCTAGCATAAAGGAGTAATGGAGGATCTCAAGGTTCTTACAGAAATCCATAGTGTTTCATTTTCTTTCATTTGTCTAGCAACTAAATAATATTGCTGGACAATGGAGAATCAAAGATGCTGTGATGTTGATATTTGCCTTAAATAGAGGCTTAACTTTTTTTTTTTTTTATTATTATTGGGCTAAATGCTGAAAACCTTACTGAGTTTCTACTCAAGGCAGATCAAACTCAGTAGAAGCTGATATTAAGACTGAGTAAAACCAGAAGATGGCAATCAATATTACTGTCTGCAGAGCGATAATTTTTCAGGTTTTCTAATGACTCTCCCCCTCAACTCCTCTCTCTTCAGACCCCATCTGGAGTACTGCATCCAGCTCTGGGTCCCTGGTATAAGATGGACATGGATCTGTTGGACAGAGCCCAGAGGAAGTTGCAAAGATAATCCGAGGGCTGGAGCACATCTCCTATGAAGACAGGGCGAGAGAATTGGGCTTGTTTAGTGTAGAGAAGAGAAGGCTCTGAGGAGGCCTTAGAGCAGCTTCCAGTACCTAAAGGGGCCTACAAGAAATCTTGAGAGGGACTTTTTACAAGGGTGGGTAGGGATAGAACAAAGAAGGATGTCTTTAAGCTAAAAAAGGGGAGATTTTGATGAGATATTGGGAAGCAATTCTTCACTATGAGGTGGTGAGGCACTGGCACAGGTTGTTCAAATAAGCTGTGGCTGCCCTATCCCTGAAAGAGTTCAGGGTGCACTTTGATGGGGCTTTGAGCAACCTGATCTAGTGGAATGTTTCCCTGCCCATGGCAGGGGGTTTGGAGTTAGATGATCTTTAAAGCCCCTTCCAAACCATTCTATGAGTCTGTTATTCTAAGGAAAAAGAATAGGGTGGATCAACCTGTACCTCAGAAATAGATGTCCCTCAGGACTGCTGTGCACCAATATTGTAATGTGGGACTTGAGACTATTTTGGGCTTTGGAGAAACTTCAAAATTTGTCTTATTACTTGCAAGTGTTCTAAGCGTATGTGATGCTTGACAGATAATTAAGGTTAATTTATCCCATAGTTAATGCAGGAATATGAAAATGGAAAGATAGCCTAAATGTGTTTTGTTCTCACTGAACAAGTAACATTACAAAGATGCAATGATACAAAATATTAAATATGTATGTGTGTATAGATCTAATAGGAACTAGCAGAATAACAGCATAAAAATTACTCTCTGTCTAAAGAAACTCTCTTGATAGTCTCCATATAAAGATACATTGCAGTGCTACTGAAGCTCAAAAGCAATGAAAAATATTGGAACAAAAAAGGTAAGAAATGTGTATTAAATAATTGAGAAAAGCCTGCTACTGAAAAATCTTGGTTTATAGATCAAGCATTACCCAATGATCACAGAGTATACAAATTTTATCTTAAATCTTACAGTGGTAATATGGCATTAAATTATTAAGCTCTTGATCACACACGAATCAGTATTAAGGCTGTGACACTGTTTAAGTTCCTCTGACTTTCTTTGTGCATAGATACAGCTTGTTTAAAAACAACAAAAAAACAACAACAAAAAGCCCCCAAACCAGCCAGACGTGAGGTGTCTTCTGGAACATATCAGAAGGTAAAGTACATACCCGTGTATCATGCAATGTATGTAATATTCATTTCCGTGATGAGATCCTGGCGTTTTTTCAAATCAGTTGTATCTTTAAAAATGATTTTGTTTTCTGTTCCCTTTGTTTGAGAAAATCGAGCATGTTGGTTTCACATAAGTATAACTGGGAGCAAGACTGCTTCTCCACTCATCTACTCTGTTTCAGACCCCAAAGCTCAGAAAAGGTTACTGTTCAGATATGTATCTTATTTTCTGTGGTAGAAATTTGTCTTTATGCAAAACTGTTTACTGGCATGTTATTAGTTTCTTTGTCTTGATAACAAACACTTCCCTTTCAATATCCAGTATTTCTGCAGTAGTGTTCATCTTTGAAGTGGTTTTCCCTAGTACAGCATGGAAAGGCACCACTGCACTGCATTGCATTTCCCTGTTTGAGCAACTACCCACTGGCAGGGGCTGTCTCGCACCTGCCCACAGCTCGTGCCTTGCTGCCACCATTTTCTGGATTGTGTCAGAAGAGGGAAAAGGCCAATATAGAGGAATGAGAAAAGAGAAAAAGGAGAAGTTAGGAAGATGTTAATCAAAAGGGATGATGGAAGAACCTGAGAGGACCTTAGAAAAAGAAAAGAGATGGAAGTTGACAGAGTCCTCACTTGCTTTCACTTTATTTCCTCTTTTTCCCACGCATGCTTTTCTTCCCTTTACTCTCTTTCTGCCTCATATCCCTTCCTGTTATCACCCTGTTCTGCCTTTCCACCCAGTCTGTATTCCAGCAGTCCTGTTCCTGTCCCACAATGAGTGTCTCTCAGCCAAGAAAAGCATGTTTCATGTACTTGGATGGCAGCAGGGAGAACTTAGGACGAAATTAGTGATGACTCCTGCTGTGTATATGATCAGTCATTAACATACGTATGGGCTGTGCTTTTTTGTTAGAAAATATACAACCTGGCTCAAATTAATAAGCGTAAATACAAGCTAAATAAACAGCACATGGGTGTCAGGCCTGTAAACTAAATATTGCTTACGGCTTAGGTAGAAACTAGTGTCAGGCACCGTACTTTGAAATATTATCCTTTAAAAGCAGATTCCATGTCTATTCTTACGCAAACAGTTTGGTGTCTGGGAATGCTGAGAGCATCACATAGATTTGACTGGCAAATGCAGTACATGGGCTCGTGGTGTGCCAAAGGCTTCTGACAGGCTGCCGTGTATCAATCCATTTATTCATGTCCACACATTCCTAACATCTAGAGCAAGTGACAGGAAACCACTAAGCTGTGGAGAGTTTTTCTAGTATTTTTTGATTAGCTGACAGTGTTTGTGAAGCTGCTAATTCCTCTTCATCCAAAAGAGGATATTTCTCAGACAAAATCAGAATAACCCTGTGCTAGATGTGCCATTCATGACTGATAGCAATAGCTTGGTTGCAGTCAGTAAATATTGCTGTCTAGTGCCGTATGGCTGCAGTGCTGTTGCTTGTATTTCTCAAGTGTTTATGCTCTGTCAATCAAGAGACAGCAGATGCCATTAAAATCATCTCAGCACTTTCCTGCTGTACAATAATTGCAGCATATCTTCGAAGTGTAGCAAAATGTCCTGACTTGCTGAGACCTCTTTTTCAATTTCTTGTGCAGTTGTAGTTACTTTTTCATCGTGAGCCTATGGTCCAAGCAGAATCTAGTGGAAGAAAAAGTCACCTTGTGTCTCTAGACAAGTTAAAAGACTTTGTTATTGACTGTTACTCTGGGTATTGCCCTCCCACCTCACTGGTGTATCTAAAGAGTGGTACCCGCACAGGGAGTAGTAATCTGTGGTATATGCTGACAGCTGTTACAGGTAGTTAAGAAGCAAAAGGTAGTCCCAGTGTTCACAATTCAGGAGCAGGGAAAAACCCCTTTCTGTGAAATGCATGGCATTTGATGCTGTCAAAAAAATAGTATTGGACTAGAAAAACTGTCTTTAACTCCTTCACACTTGTAGTTTCCAGGTTTCTAGAAAATGGGGTAGATGCTGCAAGGATTTATAGCATGTGCAACACTTCAGAAACATCCAAGCTCCAGTAAGCATAAAAGGCAGAGCCAGCATCACATCTAGAAACGGGCTTAGAGAAAAGGACATATTGTACATACAGCTCAAAGCCTGTGGGATAGCAACATGTTATTCCAGCTAATGGAATGGGTTCAAGGTCATATACAGATCTCTACCTGTGTGTGATTCAGCAAAAGCCCTTGGACTGACACAACACACGAGTAGGCTTCAAAAAGCTGCTGCTAAATACCTGAACCTTGAACTTCTTCCTTGTTTTGGTGTAGGAGAGTGGCAACACCAATTCAGTGGTATTATTTTATCTCCCCAAAGGCCAGTTCATGCAGACCTCATTATTTTCTAACCCAGTGCCATCCCTTTCTAGGGACTGCTTCTGAATTGTGAACATTGGGGTTTTAAGCTTTTATTTAATCAAGTATTTGAAGACCAGCTTAGGTCCAGAGACAGAGAGATGTATAAGTTTGGAATTTTATTCCAATGGATGTAACTCCAAAGTGCACAAATAACTATCCATTTGGGTTGTGGATCTTTGAAAAAAAAACCAGACCAAAACATGATGAATAAATAGCTCATGGTGCCAAAATGCTGGTTGAGTGCACAGGAATTCCTTATGAACCAGGATGACGCTGGTGTCTGACAGCATGACTTCATAAGCCTCCCAGGTGGAAAGCAAAACACGTTGGTTTTTTTTTTTTTCTTGTATCTCTAAATATTTTGGGAGAGGGTGAAGTAACAATCTGTTCTGTGGTGACAGTGCTGAATGAAATGAAGGGTGATTGAAGTTAAGGCAGTTAAAAATGAACATGGCTTTTTGTAAACACCCCTTTTCCCTCGGGACAGTAATTTTTCCATGTTGTTCCAACTTCTCTTTTTTTTTTTAAGGTAAAATCATAACATACCAAAACCACAGCAATATTTTTCCTTGCTGGCTATTTTTAAGACTGGAATCGCTCTAGTTATAGGTATGGTAAGAGAAATGGCAGATGAGTAGGATCTAGGGAGAGCTTTAATTTTCTAACATGTATTTTACACAGTATCACAGTATGTTAGAGATTGGAAGGGACCTCAAAAGATCATCTAGTCCAATCCCCCTGCCGGAGCAGGAACACCTAGATAAGGTTACACAGGAACGTGTCCAGGCGGGTTTTGAATGGCTCCAAAGAAGGAGATTCCACAACCTCCCTGGGCAGCCTGTTCCAGTGTTCCGTCACCCTCACTGAGAAGAAGTTTCTTCTCAGATTTAAGTGGAACCTCTTGTGCTCCAATTTGTACCCATTACCCCTTGTCCTTTCATTGTTTGGCACTGAGAAGAGCCTGGCTCCATCCTTGTGACACTCCCCCTTTATATATTTATATACACTAATAAGGTCACCCCTCAATCTCCTCCAAACTATAGAGACCCAGCTCCCTCAGTCTTTCCTCATAAGGGAGATGCTCCACTCCCTTAATCATCTTAGTTGCCCTGCGCTGGACTCTCTCCAGCAGGTCCCTGTCCTTTTTAAACTGAGGGGCCCAGAACTGGACACAATATTCCAGATGAGGTCTCACCAGGGCAGAGTAGAGGGGAAGGAGGACCTCTCTCGACCTACTAACCACCCCCCTTCTAATACACCCCAGGATGCCATTGGCCTTCTTGGCCACAAGGGCACAGTGTCGGCTCATGGTCACCCTGTCGTCCACCAGGACCCCCAGGTCCCTCTCCCCTACACTGCTCTCTAACAGGTCGTTCCCCAGCCTATACTGGAACCTGGGGTTGTTCCTGCCCAGATGCAGGACTCTACACTTTCCCTTGTTATATTTCATCAAGTTATTCCCCGCCCAGCTCTCCAGCCTGTCCAGGTCTCTCTGGATGGCAGCACAGCCTTCTGGCGTGTCGGCCACCCCTCCCAGCTTAGTGTCATCAGCAAACTTGCTGATAGTACACTCAATTCCCTCATCTAAATCGTTGATGAATATATTAAATAATACTGGTCCCAGTACTGACCCTTGAGGCACTCCACTAGATACAGGCCTCCAACTAGACTCCGCCCCATAGACTACAACTCTCTGGCTTCTCTCCTTCAGCCAGTTCACAGTCCACCTCACTACCCGATCATCCAGACCACACTTCCTCAATTTAGCCGCAAGGATGCTGTGGGAGACCGTGTCAAACGCTTTGCTGAAGTCAAG